AAAGAAAACTTAACTTGGGAGAGAAAAACACATTTCTAGCTGGGAGGAGATCTGGCTTTAATATTCTTTTAGACATACCTTTATTATTACTTCTTTAGTGTTAGAGGTCCAGTGTTTTGTCGTTATCGTATACAATGTTCCCTTTGATGATCACATATCGGATGGTTTCCTGGTGTCCCCCCAGCTGGTAAATCAGGTGCTCCCACCTTCAAACAGTAAGTATAAATGCTTCAAAAACCATCTAGAAAATAAATAAGTCAACATTTCCAGAGTATAAATACAAAACCAATCCAACAATCTCTCTTTATGCGCCTAACAGCAGCAAGCAGATTCTCATTGCTAAAAAGAAAATGATTAATTTGATGTCAATCAGACTGAGCAATATTAGGAGAAGTGGAAAAGTCCTACAAAGGCTGTGGAGATCTAAAAGAGAGAAATATAAATTTGGAAAAGCTGGAAAGTATTTTGGAGTCGATCCCTAATCAGTTGATTAAGAGGTGACTTGAATGTCCTGTTTCCTCCATGGAGAAGCTGTACGCTGCACAAGTGATCTAGAAATGCGTACAAAATTTCTTAAATTAAGTGCATTTACCCTTAATTTGAGTAGGTCAATAAGATGATTTCCCAAAAGAATGAGAACTTTTAGCCTTGAAATAATATAATTAGACAATAAGCACTTGAAATAAGACAATGCAATTATTTCTTATTTTAAATGTAAATTGTCTTCTACCCATGCAAAGTGTCTCAGTTAACTCCTCAATTCAATAAAAATGCACTTATTTTAAGACAAAAATACTTATTTAGATAAATATTTTGCAGTGCATGGATAATAAACACAAGTCACAGCTGAAACTGTTAGCCTAGTTAGCTTAGAAAATTTAAATTCTCAAAGCTGTCAGTTTAAGGTGATCTAAAATAACACTTTGCACAGTCAGGAAGATTAACATTGAGGCTGAATTGATTGGCATTGTTCTTTTTCCAGTGTCTTAAGATTAAGCAACAGCTTCAATGTTTATTTTAACAAAGTTAACCTGTGGTAAAGTTGAATCCACTGATGAACACTGGAAAAATTTTTAAATCTAGATAAGTCATTTTTTTCTTAAAATAAGTTCATTTATTCTTGGATTGAGGAGGTTAAAGAGACATTTTGCCAATGGAACAAGACAATTTATACTTAAAATAAGAAAACACAATTGCATTGACTTATTTCAAGTGCATATTATCTAATTATCTTATTTTAAGAGTGAAAATACTCATTCCATTGGCAAAGTATCTTATTTACCTTCTCAAATTAAGGGTAAATGCACTTAATTTAAGACATTTTTACTTATTTCTAGGTGGTTTTTCCAGTGAATGAGCAGAGCCGTTAATAACCGAGGTGGTAAATTTACCGTGTTGCATTCAGGATAAGCAGGTCGCCGTGTTTATTCACCTCCAGGGATCCGTGCGTGTCAGAGCGACCGAGAGCGAAAGCAGCGTTGATGGTGGCTGCGGCCAAAGCCTCCGTCATGGACATCCTCATGTTGACGCAGGCAAGATGCATGACTACCGGCTGGAAGTTATATATATATGCAGAGGAGTTAATATGAGGACAGAGGGCTGAAAAGGACAGAAGGAAAAAAAAAAGAAGTGACCATAGAGCAGCAGTAAGCGTTGGGGTTGAAGTCGCTGCCAAGGGCAACAATCACTCCTGCATCCAGCATGTCTCTGGCCCGGGGCTGAGGCAGCCTACAAGCACAAAATACCATTAAGCCACAGTTCCCCGGGAGGGGTGGGGGGCAGCGTGTGTTTTAGTACCGCAGGATGTAGGCTGTGGTCGGAAGGAGGACGGCAGCAGTTTTTGCTTTCGCCATGGCAACAATCCCTTCATCTGTAACCTCCTCAAGATGACTAATGGCCAAGGCCCCAAGTTCTGCTCCCATCTGAGATAAAGTTTCTAATTTAAAGTTCTTAGAAAATGAAAAGCTTAACCTTTGGTCATTATGCATGGGCAATACCTCAGCAGAGTTCATGGGATGCAGCTCGTCTCCATGGAAATTGATGTTGAGCCCCATTTCCTTCCCAGCCTGTAGGATGGCGCGACTCGACTCCAGATCAAACACCCCCTGCTCGCAGAACACGTCGATGTTGTTGACCTGGAGTCTCCCAGCAGACATCAGCTCCTTCAGTCGGGGAAGCTGAACCTGCAAGATGTCCTCTGTAGTTTCTGCCGCCGTCTTCCCTCTGAAGAAGACAACCAATGAAGGCTGGTGGGCAGATTTTTAAAGGTTGAAGGAGGTTTCTTACTTTGGCACAGCATGGGCTCCACAGTAGGTGGAGGAGATGTTGATGGGAAGGGAGCTCCTCGCCTCCTCGATCACCTCCAGCATCTTCAGCTCAGTCTGGAGCTCCAGGCCGTATCCGCTCTTACACTCCACCAGGGTTGTTCCAGCTCGCTGCATCCTCTGTAATCTGCTCTTCAGAGAGGTCAGGAGGTCCAAGGCAGCTGCTGCTCTGGTGTGCTCCACCGTGTAGTGGATCCCTCCTCCGGCACGGTGCACCTCCATGTAGGTGGCCCCAGCCAGCTGCAGGAGGAAACGTTCAGCAGTTATTTAAATTTCCACACCAAAAGTTCCATCTCAAATCTTTTCAGTAAAATGTTCTCTGCTTTTACAGAGTGGAGCAGTGACTAAAACAATCAGTGTTTCACAAATACTCCTAATCAAGATTTCTTTAGAAAACACTTCAGAGAAGAGGGAAGACTCAGCGGTTTAAATACCTTCATGGCAAATTCATGAACTCTATCTCCAGCCCAGACAGGATGAGTGTGAGCATCAACAAGTCCTGAAACAAGAAATTAAAAAAAGCAAAATAAATGCAGCTAAAACCGCTTGGTGCTCAGGAAGAAGGTAGCAGAACAGTCTGAAGCTTCCACCTTTCCTTACCTACGCTAAGATGGGCACTAGAACAACTTATCCACATACAAACACAGGGGAACATGCCTGAGATGGTACATTTAAATATAGGTTTTTTAAATTATAATTTATAACATGCATAATTTAGAGGTTATCATCAAGCATCAGAGCACCGAGTGTTTCAGTGCTTTTATGGGTATTTTAGGAGATTCGAGCAGAAATGAATAGTAATGGATCAACATTGATTTCTTTTTCCAACCAAGGCAGGGGTTTAACCTTAGCATCAGGGATCATACTGTTTCTAATCCTCCTTTGAATGGCAGATATAAGAAAACATTTTATTCCGGTATAAATATATATCCTTCTTTCCACTTTAACTACATAAAGATCCTTAGTCCTCCAATATTTTTAAAGACTGCATATGAATTATGTTGTAAAAATGATTTCCCTCCTCATCACATACAAATAGAGGCTATTTGGTTTTCTTTACACAATTAACAGATGAGAAATCAAAACTGGGCCAGAAAATTAGAATAATCCAGACTTCAAGTGTACCTGAAGCCTTTTATTCAGGTGAATTTAATGCATTTTAATATGAGCACCACATCTAAACCTTACATAAGATTAAATGTTTACATACAATATGGACAAAAAAAGAAAATAGAAATGACTTTTCCTGTAGATTTGAACTACCCTTTTTTATGTACCATAAAAAGAAAACTGTAAAAAAGCCTGAATGTTTTTTTCCAGGTCAAGGTCCAAAGGCTGCATGGTCAGCTGGATGCTCCAAGCCGCAGCAGATACTCACCAGGTAGAACACACATCCCTGCTGCATCGATCACTTTATCAAAGGAGGACTCAGAGAAGCGAGCTTGGATGGTTTCTGCAGGACCCACTGCTTTAATGAGACCATCCCTGCACAGAGAAATGACTCAAATTACAGTAAAGCTAACTTTCAGACAGCAGCTGTGGCTCAAAGTGAAATATTTAAACCTCTTTAACCATCACTTTATTATGCAACATTGCTTCCAAGCAAAGCAGAAGTGCCCTGCAAAAAATGGAAACCTAAATAAGTCATTTTTTCTTAAAATAAGTGCATTTGTTCTTGAATTGAGGAGGTAAGTGAGATACTTTGTTAATGGAACAAGACAATTTACATTTAAAATAAGAAAAAGCATTATAATCTTATTTTAAGAGTAAAAATACTAATTCCATTGGCAAATGGTCCCATTTACCTACTAAAATGAAGGGTAAATACGCTTAATTTAACACATTTTTACTTATTTCTAGACCATTTTTGCAGTGTGGTATTTGTTAATAGCCCTCTAGGCTTTTTCCTCTGGTATCCAGCAGATCATCACAAACATAAATAAGATCCATGTCAAGTTTTTCCAGAGTATCCTATTTTTGTTCTTATTACTTGCTGCCATGCAGCTAAAGTCCTGGATAGAAACTTGAGAAAGTCTGCAGACCTATTGTTGGAAAACAGGATCATATATAAAACTTTACTGCCACTTGTGATAAATCTGGTTTAAAATGTTATTAGATATAACAGGAGAAACATTAAAAATCTGAATCTGGTCTCATGTTGGAGCAAACCTGAAATGCATTCAAATGTTTTAGTTTTTGTTGTGAAATCTCACCTTCCGATGACAAGGCTAGCATTTTCAATCACACTCAGGTTGTTCATCCCATGCTTGGTCAGGTACTTCTCCCCGTTGCTGCAGATTAAAACCACCTGCTTGGCATTTTTCACCAGCAGCTTGTGATTTTTGGACATTTTCACTCTTTGAAAGCAATGCTCAGACTACTCTGGGCTGAAAACAAGTCAAATATTTGTGCAAGAGTGCAGAGGTCAAAGCTCAAAGAGGGAGGCGTTGCTTAAACAAACTGGGATTCACAAAGAAAAACGAAAAAAGGACACAAAATCTGCATTGTTACAAATGTTACAATAATCGTTTTATTGTGTCTGCATCCCAACATACAAACAGGACTCAGTAAAAAAAAAAAAAAAAGAGAGAACAACAGAAATGGTTTCACATGGTGAAAACACAAACACAAATGAACTCCACCATCAGTTCCAAATAAAAAACTTAAATCATCTTCATCACTCTCTCATTTCTCCATCTTCTTCCTCCTCTTCTACGCCTCGGATGTATAAAACATTGTTGCACCTGTGGGGAAAAAACATCGATTCAAAAACAGCTTTTCCTGCACAAACCACATGTAATTATTAACATGGTAGCTATATAGTATTGAAGAAGCCAAGCCTGGGTACTGATACGGCCAAAAACGGTCAGGTTTGTCTGAGGAACCATTTATGATCTGATCTGGTAACTATCTTTTAAGAAGAGATTTCATGTAATGCACTGCCAATAAAAGTTTCTGGATACATTTTTCTTCAGCCTGACAGAAAGAGTCTGGTCTTAAAGGTATGAGGGAGGAAGTTCTCTTTTCAGGGGGATGATCAAAATAAGTGGTCCTCCTTATTGTCAATCGTTCTGGTGATGTGTTTCTCAAATGTGCACGTTCAAGCATATATCTGTAGTGAGCTACTGTTTTCAGACAGTCATTTCTCACAGCGGCTCTTTAAAAAATGCCGAAGGTTTAAGAGAAAAACGTTTTTATAAAGTGTATAAGAAGATAAAGGCCTCAGAAGAGAGAAACAAGACCAGTTGGGGAGATTCTTCCACGCGATGGCGTACACTGAAAGCACATGTTAGGCTTCCCACTAATGCCTCGGCAAAGTTTCTACTCGACAGGTAAAGTCTGGCATGCTATTTGGAGAAATTAATTTCCTTATCACTGCTACTAAAACAAGGAGCAATGGGCCTGTACATGCTTTCGCACAAGTTTAATAGGCGTTCGCTCTCGGAAGCGGGTACAGAGTTGTGCATGTTTTCGTTTTTTTTTTTTTTAGTAGAGAGGGCGGGTCTTTTTTTAATTTTGGGAAAATTCCCCCCATTCTGTTAACAGATGATTCCTGTGTTTTCAAGGCCAGTAGAGTATTGGATGATAAGGGAGAGTAATGCAAAAAAAATTGATTTATTTCCATGGATATAGTCATTGCAAGCCAATATTTGTATTTTATATATATATATATGTGTGTGTATATTTGTAGGCCTTGTAGTTCATGAGTTTTATTTTACTGATGTTCACTTTTTTCCCCATCTCCATCACCATCCTGCTCACTGTGAATGGTGGCATAATACCCCTGAGTCCTCAACTAGCCATAGAAGTTATCTTAAACAAGTTCTACTCTGCCTGTTGAGGTAGAAGCCATTTTTTTTGCAGCCAAGTTAAATAAATTAGCCTTATTTGAATATCAGGTTCTCTCAGCTTTTCCATTTTGAAGACTGACTAAGAGATATTAGCCTTTTGAGTCACATCCCAAATCGGGAGTCGCTCGTAAACACAGGTGTGTTTAGGAACATTTATTAGGAGCAACCTACCAAAACAAGTTACATTACCCTTTACGTACATATGTTCAGGGAGAGATTGTTTAACCGCTATAAAATGCTGTGATTTTAACCCGTTTAATCATCTTTTATCAGAGCAAATCAGTGTGCAGTATTAGTTTAAGAAGAAAGAGGGTTAACATACCTGATCAACACTTCACCAAGATGCCCTGCCAATGCTCCATCGACGTACTCTTCTGTGTTTGCCAACTGTAGGAAAATTATGCACGAAAAGGTCAAAAAGCCATTAATGGAGCAGAGTGTTTTTGTTTGATTTTCTCTGTTCTGTCTTGATAAGATAAAACTGAGAGAAAATATAAAACCACAATCCTTTTCTGAGCCACATCAACTATTTTAAAAGTCATCAGTAATAAAACACTTATTAGAAATAAGTAACCTTCAAGTAGAAGCTACGAAAACATTAAAGCTTGCTTGGATGTTGAGATCAGACCCCCCCAGAAGCTTGTTATTTATGATTTAAGAGTTTGACCTTGTTAAATATAGATGTGATTTACTAAAAAGTATTAACCACTGCTCCTTATAAGTAAAATAAATTACATACATTAAAACTTACTAGAAATTCCAGAATTAAATGTTAATTTATGTCTGCTCTGTAAGTAAAAACTCACTTTATTTTATAAACACACACCGTTTTTTTTGTTTTACAGAGAAAATTACTATATCATCATGACCAAAACATGATATTAAAGCGCCCCCTGCTGGGGTTTAGGACAAAACAATCCTACCATAAACACACCTTTCCATTGAATTTGAACAGGTGTTAAATCACTTCACAGTACAGTATTTTATTTGTTTATTTCTTAACTCTTCACTATTATGTTACTCTTATACAATTTCCTTAGGTAATAGTCTAATAGTTTTTTCCTATAATCTTTTTGCAGCTGTAAACACCAGAATTTCCTAATTGTGGGACAACAAAGGGATTTTCTATTCCATTCTATATAGTATATATATATTAGTGTGACAATACCAACAAATATTGAAATCTTTAAACCGTCATGAAGCTTGATTGTCAACAGACTTCATCAACTATGATCTAAAAGTTCTAATAAAGAACAAAAAAAACTAAATATATTTAATAAAACAGAAAATGTATGGCCAGCTGCTAACGCTCCCCATCAATTTTTTTCTACACAAGACAAATGTTTGTGTTTTACAAATCAATTTGAAATGATTCTTATATTTTCTTGACCTCTTGAAGTCATTAATATTTTTCCCCCTGCTTTTAATGTCATTACACTGTTACTGGTACAGAGCAACTAAACGAACTCTCTGCATTTAACCCATCCCCTTGGGGAGCAGTGGGCTGCCATTGTGCAGCTCCAGGGGAGCAGTGTGGGGTCCCTTGCTCAGGAACCCAGGCTAGCAGTCTGTGGGAGTGGGGCTTAAACTCAGAAGCTCTGGATTCCAAGTGCAATGTCCTAACCACTAGGCTGCCAATCCTGCCGCTAGGCCAACACTCCCTCCATTTAAATGCACATTAAAACATTTTTACAAGAGTTAATTTAATAAACAAAGCAAATAAATCAAAGATTAAAATATTTTATTATCAGAAAACAAAGCTGGTACTCTGTTTCAAAAAATGACTGAATGCAGGAAAAAAAGTTACAATGGTATAATACAGTTTTTCCTGCTAAACGGTTAATTGCATCAATTTCTGTTGTAATCTCTGAAGAATATTTTGGTTCTGTAGATAAGAACAATCGTTCATGGATAAAACATGACTCAAAACTTCTCCTCTAATCAGGGATGTGTGCCATAAACTTGATGCATTGTTTTGATTAAAAGAATTATACTACTGCTTCCATGTTATTCTAATTTGTTTAAGGAAAGGAAATCTTCCCACCTGCATGTTCATGTATCCGTCCACCGACACCAGGTAGCCTTTATATTCCATCCCCCACTTCAGCTTTACCATCACAGGTTTCCCTGTCAGGCCGTTCAAGAAAGGCTTCGGATTCAAAGGTAAACTCTGCAGGAAATCAAACAGATACACAAAGTTTGCTTTACAAGAAACTAATAGTTATAACAGAAGTAATAATAACATTGTTTTCTGTTTGGAGATCTACTTCCTACTGTAGTACTGTACTATAACCTGTAAATAAACTGAATACAATCTATGAAGTAAAAAAATAAAACTTGTCATTCATAGTATCTTAAAAACGTGAAATAAATGTTTAGAGTTCTATTTTTATTAAATAAAAGTAGATAATATGTTTAAGTTGTATTTCAAGTTATTATTTTTAGCTGTAGTCTATTATATACATTTGATTGACTGACTATATTGATCTCACAGTGGAGAAATTTGGGCTAGACAATGCAACTTTTTAAGATAAATATAGTTCTATATTAATAAAGTACTTTGCAATCTAAGTTGAAATTAGCTTGACGCTTTGGGGGGCATCAAACTGTTTAATCAACAACTTTTAAATAGAAAAACTTGTTAAGAAATAAAGTGTGTGTGAGATTCTCGGCCTCTGGAAGTAAACCCATCAGTGTGGAAATACACATCATTTAGTGATTTATCATCTCATGGTAGAAAATCCCATTGCGATAGACTAGATAAATAGAATAAGGTAATGATTAAAAGCATAACTAAATTATTAGAGCAAACATGGCAACTTAAACGATCAGTTTGAATAACTAGCTTTCGGAAGCTAACGATGCTAATGCTAAACAAAAGGAATTACTCAAACAGGAACGACCCTACATGGTATAGATAATGCTCAACGAAACCACTAAAGGTTTACTCACCATATTTATTCCGCTTCAATAATTAATTTTACACTAAAGTAGGTAAAAATTATATTTTCGTTACGGTAACGTTTACACTTCGAACCAGCAGCAGCACGCTTTACCGCCGACCGGAAGTACGTCTCTTTGACGGTAGCTTTCAGTCTGACTGTGTTTTTCGCAGCGCCACATAGCGGGCAGAAGTTCGCACTGCAGCTAGATTTATTTGGGTCTTTATTTTACCTAACACTGTAATACCTCTATGCTGAGTAGAGACAGAGACACACGTGTATAAAAATATATATCAAGAGCAAAATCTTGATAAAAGAAAATAAAAAAATAAATAAAGTAACTGAGAGCTGAAAAGCTTCCAGGTCTATGCATCCATCTTTGAGGTCCGATATTGCGGGACATTATCTATCATAATTCTGTTTTTATGTTTACATTTTCAGCTTAACATTCAATATATCTACTTTTTTGTGACATGTGAAGGTATTTTTCATCTTTCATTAATAAATCTTTATTTCAGTATGTGTTAATTTCTACATTATAGTTTCATTTTTTATTTTACATTTTTTTTACAAACGTCTCTCTTATTTTACATTTTTACATTTAGTTTTAAAGTGCAACAGTTTTATGTATTTTTATTTTATATTTTTTTGTATTTCATAACTAGACATTGAAAAAAGGGGGTTCAGTTCTGTTTTGGTTCAATTAATTTTGTTCTACTGTTGCATTCTTCTCAAATTCAGCTTTTTTTTCTTTCTTTTTTTCAAATGTATTGTGCGTAACTGTTTGCCATAAAATTTTATTCACTTGTATAGTTTATTCTATTTCCAAAATTTAGTGTATTTTATTATTATCGTCATTAATGGTCCTTCCCTGTTTTAGTTCAGTTCCAGTTCTGTTCTATAGTTTTTAATCATGTGCAACTAAATTCTTTACCTTCTTTACCTTTTTATATTTCAGTCTGTTTTTGTGATGCTTACTTTATCTTTTTCTACTCTACTGTATACTAATAGCAACCAGACTTAAATATTTTATTTCTAAACAATAGCCTCTGTCTCTTCTGATCTGACCTTGGTGATGGTTCTGTTATATTTTTGTCACTTTAACTTAATTTTGAAAGGATTTAATCTTGAATTTCAAACCATGAAACAAAAAAAAAAAATTGGATTTTAATGCCACATCAGGATAATTCTGTTTTTACTATGCAGCTTGATTTAATGAGACACACAGTGAAAACTGCTATTTTCTTTCTACCAGGAATGGTTGATCTGTTACTGACAAACATAAACAGGCTCAAATCTGATAAGTAAATAAAGTAAATCTGATTTTACTTTTTGAGAAATTCCAATGAAATTAATCAGGAATTTTCTTAACATCCTAGAAATACTTCTATCGTTACATCACCAAGATTATTTCCCCTACGTGTAATTTCACTATCCATCAGAGGAGTGTGGTTTCATCTATGAAACAAGACATTCTTTTTGTTTTAAAGCATTTCACAAATTCCAGGTCAACGTACAGCACCGGCTATCTTTACCTGATCAGTTTCACAAATTTCCCTAAAAAAGAACTAAACAGAAAACTGCATCGCAATAAAATTATTGTTTTACACCTTTAACAATGTAAAGAAAACATGCTTTAAAGAATTGGAAATTCATGTGTAAAACAAAAGTATGATTATGAAAAAGTTTTTAAACAGTATTTGTTACACAAATTACAAAGAAAAACAAAGGTATTAAA